ACGTTTGTAAGGAAAGATAGAAAGTAAAAACGAAAAGAAAAATGGGGAAAGAAGATGAGAGATGAACACACATACGTACAGGTACGTCCACAAACATACTATGCAATAATATAGACTAGACAATCATAATATAAACGTACAATACAATAATATAGCCTAGTTAAATATAATATAAACGTAAACATTATTAGACCGAGTGTGATGGACAGAATGTTGTCATCATGGTGGATTTTGGAGATGCTTAAAAAATTAGGGAAGAGAAAGTTCTGGCGTCTTCGAGTTCGTAAAGTGGAGCATGCTGGAAAGATCACTCGCCGAACCGAGTCGAAATTTTGGCTCTATGTCAAATCTTATTTTACAACATAGTAAGAGCTAAGATAGCAAAATCAATTCAATTTCAATTCTAATAAATATAACATAACCCTTATTTTGACCTCCGAAGTCTGAAATTTCCGTTTTCTCTGTTTTAATGTCAAAAGAGGCTGTTGAAGGTAGCATTAAAATTCAATCTATAGAATTAAACGTTCAAGGGAGAAGTTAAAAAGTATCAATATCGTCAAGATAGATTTTTATTAGTCTATCCCCGGAGTCGAAATTTTAGTCCTAGTTCGAGTCCGATTCAGTTCTACATTAAATAAGATTTTCTATCGTGCTCCTTGGGAACGAAAAACGGGGAAATTATTGCCGTTTTCTCCACTCGAAGACTTAATGTAGGACCTAAAATTCAGTCTCTGGAGGACTAAATTCCTTGCGTAGCATTAAAGGAACACATATTGCGCCCCTTTGACGCTGCAAGTGGGAACTTATTTCTGTCTTCTCCGCTCGAAGGCTTAACGTAGAATTTAAAATTTCGACACGGAACTGGCCGTTTAAGTAGGCGCAAATCATCCTTAAGAGCGTCAGAGTAGCGTCGAAATTTCGGTAGAGAGGTGCTCAGCAATACGCGAACGGCGTAAATCGTTTCCTTAATCGAAGGCGCGCGCGCGCCACGAAGGCGACGATTAAAGGCGTTTCGTATCGCCGGGCATTTCCTCGGCGGGCGATCTAATTTACGGCTCTTGCTAGATCCGCCGATCGATCGGCGACTCGGTCGATCGAGCCTCGCGTATATTCGCCTGCTTCTCTCTCTCTCCTCCTCGCCGCTTACCATGGCCGCGGTACCAGTGGCTATCAAGGCCACTCACTCGATTACCCGCGTTTCTTGCGAACCGAACGCAAAACCACGCCGCAGAACAGCGCCGTCGGCTCTCGCGATCGATATCGCGCAGAGCCGCGGGCTCTGCACCGGATCTATCATCGAGGCTCATCGACTAGGCGCGATTTCCTCCTCCGTCGACAGTGCGGAGGACGACAGTCGTCGAAGGTTCCTCCATTAATCGGGACGCGGCTCGACGATACCGTTGATCGTTCGCGCGAGTCCTCCTCTCTCACGTGTCGCGTCTCCCCCAATTCGCCTACGAAACCGTTTCTTATCCTGATAATAACGCCGAGACCGTTCTGCTTGTTACGCGCGGAACCGCTCGCAGAACTTGTGTGTGTCCTCGCAATGACCGCCACTCGCGAGAAACGCTCTGCTATTCTATTGACCCTTTAAGGCCCGGTGCGCGTAATAACCCGAAATGTTGGCCCTATGTTAAATCTTCAATATTACGATATAGTAGAAGCTATGATAGCAAAATGGATGAAATTCTAATAATATAATCCCTACTTTGGCTCTGATGATGTCTTATATTTACGGTTCCGCTATTTTAGCGTCGAAATAGGTTGTCGAAGGTAACATTAAAATTAAATTTGTAAAATCAAAAGTTCAAGAGAAAAGTTAAAAAGTGTTAGTATTAAAGTAGGTATTTGTTAGTCTGCTGGCCGTCTAGGCGCAAACTATCCTTAAGAGTGTCGGAGTAACATAAAATTCTCGACTTAGGAATGTACGTTAACTTCGAGCCTTCCTCGAATCGCGTCTGTTGGTAAAATAATCGTTCCGTCGATATATATAATATTATCATTCTATCCTAAATGCAGTATTCTCTGTTCTAATCTAAAGTGTAATAGTGTCTTTCCAGCTGAAGACCAATATATGTAATTGCACGTAGAGCAAAGTCGTCGGCGCTCGGATTTACATAAAGTAATTTGTGAAAAAACGCAAATATATTCTGCTCTACGAAAATTCTGTCCGACGTTTTTCAACGTCTTCAACTACGTTATAAATAAACGAAAGGTAGATCTTTTTTAAGTAAAACATTTTTAGCATCTTCTCATTTTCATAACTTGAACGCTCGATGTACGTTCGGAAAATCGTACTTTTCGACGGGCGATTTTGTTCGGACAAGAAGAATTTTCATCGGGAACGTTCTTTAAGACGATCTTATAAATTACAACATTTTACACCTACAATGAAATCGATATTTAGGCCTTAATAAAGAGTTAAAGTTCTAGAGGCTACGCTTTTTATTATTAATCGATACGGGTCACGCCCCGAGAGAGAGAGAGAGAGAGAGAAAGAGAGAGAGAACGTTTTTCAGCTGGCGTTTACCTTGACGCGCGATCGAAGAGATTCGCCGCGGCTCCTTCGAAAAAAGAAGAGGAAGGAGAAAGAAACGCGAGGATACGTACCTCTCTCGCGTGTGAAAGTATTCGCAACGAGCACTGCGTCCGCGAAATTTTCAAGCTCGTTGCGCGAGGACTCGAACATCGGCGGCTCTCCGTGTTCGGCAGGTGCTCGCGTCGACACGTTCGGCCGCGTCATCGCGATCGGCCGATCTCCCCGAGGACGATGAACAGGTTGCTCTCCTCCGCGGCGACATTTAAATGTTCCGCCGGCATTGGTATCACCCCGCGCTGCGAGTCGCGCCGCGAACTTGAAACCACCACGACGACACGCGGCGGCTCGCTGACCTTTCGTACGTGCGCGCATTCTCGCGCGACCGACATATTCTTTTAATCCCTTGGCAAAACCTTTCGTTTCTCCACTCGTCGATAATGATCTCCGGCCTCTGCCTTTCGTTCCCTCGCCGCCGCCGGGTCGAACCAACTCGAGTCTGCCAGCGATAAATCGTCAAATCCGCCTGGCCGAATCACGGGGAAGAACGAGGGGAACATCGTTTCCCCCCTCTCTCTTTCTGTTTTAACTTTTACAAATATAAAATTGTTCTGTCTTATACGCTAAATTAATTTATATTTGGATTTAAATGTAAATTTATTTCATTTATAGCTTAATCTTCTTCGCTATTATATAAATATAATTTAAATTCTTTTTTCGTAACTTTTTTTTTGCCGCTTTATTTCTCCTTACTTTTTTTGCTTTCGAATTATCATTTCGTTGATGTACATTTTAATTCGATCTAACGTAATGTTATTTCTTTCCGACTCTGTCATATATCGCACTTGTCTTTAAAGGGCTTATCCTGTTATCTTTGGCATTCGACGTGACAAGCACATTTCGTAATATTACCGTAATTTAAATTGGCTTAAAGTCCTCCACATAGGAGAACGTGCTTCCTCTCTTGCTATATGTACAGGATGTTGCATCAACATATTGAACAGTATGCTGGATTGCCGCTGGTAAGGGCACGCGTGAGAGAATGAGAACGTGTCGCGTGAATTCTCACTCTTTCACGCATGCCTTTACCAACGGCAACCCGACATACCGTTCAACATGTTGTTGATGTAACACCCTGTACATTGTTCTATCTACGAGCATCCCGTTTTATATACGTGAACGTCTATTTTACCGTACTGAGATCTGCGAATGTTCATCAACGCTCAGGTCCGTGTTTAGTAGTTGTGATCTGAAGCTTATCTCGTGTGAGATACTCAGATTTTTATTCAAGGTTTCATTTCAGAGGTTTCAATTCGGAGGCTTCAATTCAACGGTTATTCAGGATTTAATTCAGGGTGCGAACTAAGGCTTTTAGTTGACACATATGATATATCCGACATTACATCTGTGATTGCGACTCAGTTGAAAAACTCACTTCTAACTCGGAATTTAAGAATGAATATCTCAGTCATGAGACAAGCTTCAAGTAACAATTATTAATATGGACTTTGACCACCCCCGGACTATTTATTTACGTCTATAAACATCGAACTAGTATTATTCTTCATCAATTTTTTCTAATTATTGGCATTGCGAATTGGATTTCGCTACTTTCGGCATTAAAGTTGATTCTGATTTCGATTCTTTCTCTTTATCTTCCCACCTCCCTCTTTCTCGTACCGTATGCACGCTGCACTAATTGTTCTCTCAAAAGCGTTGCCGGAATTAATGAGCCGCGTCGTCGCGCGGCGCGCATTGAAGCGGTCCAAATAAGCGACGGCGACGACGATGCGCTGGAAAGGAATCGCGATGTGGCGCAGGTGTGCTCTCTTGCCGTTTCTGCACGCACCTACGTGTAGATTCCAACCCGTGTAACTGCGCATCACGTACGGATTGTAATAAATACGTTACATTACAAAGTCGAATAACAGCGCGCGGATTTCGCCGCGCGCGCGCGGACGGCTTTCTGCTTTTTGTCGTCGTCATGCACAGATGTAATGCGAGGTATATCGTCGACATGCTTCCTTCAATGCCGTTGATTTCTAAGTGATGAACGGGATATATCAGAAAAATACTTCTGTCTCGGCTGCGTGAAACGCAGAAAAAAAAGAAGCGCTGGTCAAGTCATCGTAATTACATGTTTTTCAGCCTCTTAAATCGAGTAATATTTTTACCAATTTAAATATATTTTAATAGCTTGCAGTAAACAGTTACTCGAACGCAGTGGTACCTTAATTTGTAAATGAATTATCGAATGCAAAGGTAAAATGGTTCGAGATATAAGAGAATATTTATTAGAATTATGTGATACTTCTTTTTCATCGAAAAAATCTAGTGGTTTTTTTTTCTTTTTTTTTTTTTAATTTCGATTTTCCTATTCGGTAAATATTTTCTAAAAATAAATTCTGATATTCTCAGTTTTATGAATTCAATACACCTCGGAATTATTTTATATTTTATATAATACGTACAAGCGAATATTACTTGATCGGCGGCGCTTTTTTCTTTCAATGTAGACGGCAAGCCGGAAAAGTTTTCAACGTTGTGTAACGGACATGTTTAAATCATACTGCTGGGTCTCCGTCTCCCTTTCTCCCTCTTCCCTCTTCCCCGCCGGCGTCGTCGGTGAATATTAAAAAATTGAAATCACAATCTGTTTCCGCGCGCAAACGGGACGCGATAGTCGCGGTGAATTTTTATGCGAAACAGACTGTAAAAGTTCGCATACGTCTTAATTAAAAAGTAGTTTTGACAGCTATAATGAGTGAAAGTCGCGATGTCTCCTCGAATGCGGCGAATACATCAAGAGAGAGAGAGAGAGAGAGAGAGAGAGATTCGACATCTTCCGCGAATGAGGTTTGGAAATCTGCGATGTCGCCGAGTGAGAAGCAACGGCGATTTTTTCCGTCGAAGAAACTAGCTGCCGCGGGAAGAAGGGAAGCCGTCCGGTCGATCGACGCCTCGTCGAGCCCGCGCGCGCGCGGCGACGCTCCGGCGATTCCGGCGCGCGGGACGGGTTCCCGTGTAAAAAAAAGGTCGCAAGTGGATCACCGCAGACTCTCGATCGGTTTTCCTCGCGCGCACCTCGGCATGCGCCGTCGCTTTTACGCGAACGAGCGTCAAAAGAATGGGAATTACACGCGCCTCGCGTACAGCCGGTGGCCGGTGATATAAACTCGCGAGCGAGTTTGCGCGTAAATAACCGAATGAATAAACATTGGAGTGACGCGTACCCGACGTGTCCGTTACGCAAACGCGGATCCCGAGCGCGCGCACGTTAGCGCTCGCTCACGCGCGAGCGAGCTCCGCGAAAGGAACGCTCGCAAAGACGAAAATCTCGGCGCGTCCCGCTTCCGGTTAGATAAGGGAGCCTCGGACAACATTCGGTTGTATTCTTAGCTGACGAGAGAACGCTCTGCGTTTCCTCGTACGCTCGCTCGCTCGTTCAGCGAGCCGGTTTCCGTTTTCCGTTGCAAAAACACGGAGCAGGCTCGCAGTGCACGCGCGCGAAAGGCAGCCGGCTTTAGTTTCCCGTGAGCTCGCGTAACAATCGTGGCTCGTGAATTTCTGACGTGTCATCCGGAAAACGCCGCTTATATCGCTCGCGTATGTGAGAATAGCCGGCCGCGCGCAATCTCGCAGTCCGCTTGATCTTGCGAAAGCCGAGGTAATTAGCGCCCGGCTTTTTCACGAACGTGCGCGCGATTCGCGCGCGCGCACGAGAGAGAAACTCGAAAGCGAACGGGTGGGGAACGTGACGCAAACGCATTTAGCCGATGGAAAATGAAACGTCAACATTGAATTCGCCGTCGGACAGCGGAAAAGTCAAGCCTCCGAGTAATCGACATTAAATATTTCTTCAGCTCTCGAGATTCCCGCCGCGAGTACTCGTTCGCCGAAAGAGGCCGGCGTGTCTATTACCTGGGAAAAATCCAGGAAACCTGCGATTCTCCGGGGATTTGTTCGTGCCTGAAGAGATCGGGGATTTCAAATCGACGTTCGCCCGCAAGTCACGTTATCGCGTTGTTCACAGACAAATATTATGTGGTTGATTGAAAATTGTCAGGGTATATTTTTCAGATTCGAGCAGGCACCCTGGAGGCGCGAAATTGTCAATTCCACCGGTTTCGCGGAAATCAACGTCGGATCGGAATGCGTCGCCGTAAAGAGGGAGAGGGAAAACGGCGATTCGCGTGGGCGTTCGGGTGAAAAAGGTACGAGCGTGAATAACTATGAGGAAATAAACAGAACGGGAATGCTAGCCGCGGCGGCCGCCAAGGCCCCTGTCGGCTTTCTAACGACACAATCGCTTTTATGTAACGGCCATTATTCGTCCCTTTTTATTACAACAAAGGTAAATACAAAGACGCGCGACTTTCGCCGCGAAACTGCGCCGCGGACGGCGCGCGCTTCGCGCCGTTTGACAATTATTCGTGGGGGCGTGGGCGCAGTTAAAAGTTGGAGTATATATCGAGAGAAGGGGGGGGGGGATAATTATATACGTACATGGGGGGATGACCTTTTCGGAATTATCCGACGAGGGACTAGAAGACCTCTTTGGCGATCGACCCTTCGTACGGGTGACATCGACGAACGGCACCGTCTCGCGCGAACCCACCTGCCGGATACACGACGGACGGTTCCATTCGAATTTCACCCTGTAGACGGTCGTCGACTGCAGTCGACTTCGCGATCGGGTCCTGATTAATCGTATCCTGGAGCTCTTTCGGATGCGTGAGGAACAATCACGTTTTCTCTTGTGAAAATATTGACGGATAATAATGATAAACGATACAACTGATCTCTTCAACGCTCCGTCTGTCGTGGACATACAAGTGAGAAGTGACAATTTGACGGTGGAAATTTCATCCCTAGAGCTCCAGAATACCTTCGACGAGAGCGGCCTGAATGCGAGTGACGTAGACGAGTTAACGATGAGTTGTCGCGTTGGTCCCCGATCGCTCTGCCTCGAATCAATTATACCTGCCTCCGCACGTTTTTCTTTACAATGTAAATATACCTCGATCTCGCTCACATTTACGCTCACAAATCTATACACGTAACGCAAGGCAAACGCAAATCATACACTTTACAACAAACGAGATACAAAAATAAGTGACGGCCCTCCTCGAGCGTAAAAGATAGCAGACGCCTCGACGGCAATTCAATTATCTGTACAAAATTATTTTCCGTGTGCGCGTCAGCGTTGCCGTGTTATCCGCATTCGAGTGTGCGCCTGACATCGGCAATAACGCAATATTAATTTGCAAAACGCACGATAATGATCCTGCAACAAACAAGTGTTACTGTATTCTTCCTCGCGTTGTCGCAGATTCGTCCCGAACAACTGGATTTTTCTCTCCCTCGAAGAATCTCTCGACGGACAAATTTCGTTTTTCATGTTTTCCTCCGTATCGACATGTGTCTCGTGAAAGAACGCAACTTCGACGTCCATCCATTTCCCCTTTCGTTCGATCTCATATAGGTAGAATTAGGACTCACTCCAATTTCGACACGCTGTTGGTCCTCAATTACGAAGAGAAGCGAGAGAGCGAGGGAGGACTCCGTATGAGCGGATATTGTCGGTCTGACTTCAAATGGCCGGTAGTGGACTCGCTGATCCACATGCTGGGCTTCCAGACGGACGTTCGCGAAGTTCAACACTGAGAACGACAGCTACACCGATGGCGGGAGTATTAGGGACAACGTTCCACAACAATATACATCATATACACGAATATCTATAAACCATCGTTAACGGGACGTTTATTTACAATCGCAACGAGAGAGAAGCACGTAACAAAAAGTAAACTATATCTCGTTTCGTTTGTTATCTGAGAAACGAGCAGAGAAAAGCGGAAAAAGATCGTAGAATCAACGATTTCAGGTACAAGACGGAAGATTGGTCGATTATGTACAAATTTCACTCGTAATTATTGTAGTTAGGCAAACGACGCGTGCGAGCGACCGCGCGAGATTGATCGTTCATTACCACGTCTCTTTGGACAGTTAACTATTTAACTATCGGCCGATTAGAATCCGGACGAGCGAATTCAGGCTAATCAAAAACTGAGCGCGACGACCGGCTCACGTACAGTTTGTATACATACAGGTGTTCAACATTACGGCAATCGCTCGGTGAACGTAAATTACCGGTTTCTCCAATTCCCCCCCCCCCCTTCCTCCAACCCGCTCTTTCACTCTGTATTCCCCTCCTCACTCCTCTCTCTCTCTCTCTCTCTTTTTTTCTTTCTCACTTCCTCTCTTTTCTTCGTTCCCTTCATGTCACGATCAGCCACGCTCGATCTCGCTGATACGCACAATCGTGCGATAGGCGTTGCGCCGTTACTTTATATTTTGAAATACGAGCAGACGCGATTGTCTGCGACCCGAAACGACATTGGCGTAACGAATAGAGGTGAAACTTGGATCGAATGTGGGAAATTTCTACGGCGATCGGATTCTCGCCGGCTTCCACCGGCTTCTCACTTTCGTAAGGCGCGCGCGAACGAGCATCGACGCCTGTTTCTTTTTTTTTTCTTTTTCTCTCTTTACGCCTTGACGGCCGATCGGGACAACCGGCAATCGAGAGAATTGAGTACAGTTCGGAGCCTCGAGCGTGTAAAAAAGCCGGTGCGCGGCGGCTTTCTCTCGGCGCAAGTGTGACGATCGTTCGCGACACAATCGGCAGAGTCGATTCTAGTCTAAACGCTCTCGGTCGCGTCAGCTTCTTCTCTTGGGAAGAAGGAACTTCGCGAGCGCCGTCGGGAAAAATTTACCGTCGACTCGACCGTAGAGCTCGCACGAATCCCTCGCTCCGACGACAATTTTCTAGCGGGTGTTTTTGAATCACCGATCGACCGATCTTCCGATCAATCGGAAGAGTCTCCGATGGGATTTTGGAACCTGAATCGATGGGTGAGACTTTTTGGAACTTGAGCTTCTCGTTTGGAAAAGGTTCGGGGCAACTACTATCCGCGTACACAGCGAAAAGTAAAATGCCATTCTCGTGTCCGGGAAAGTTCACTCTAGATTTTAAGTAAAAACAACTCATCCGTTGTGCATTATTTTAGTCGATAAATTCGAAATGCGAATTCCAATTGACCGATGAGTTATTTTTATACTTGAAATTCGGATTCGTAGATCTGGACTTTCTGGCGCGTAAAATTGACGTTTTTATATTTCACTGTGTAACATATACGTGGTCGTTTGGAAAATATCGTTGGCTCCCACACTGGTTACGAAAATTTGGTCGGTTTGACGTTTTACACGATGAAGGACACACATATTATACGATCAAACAGACAGCTCGCTGGCAACTCTCTCATCGTATTCGGCGAAGTCTCGAGCGGGACTTTCCTTCTCCCGAGTGCGATCCGGGTCCATCGGCGATCACTTGAGATAGTGCCTCCTCCTGGTGGAAGCGGTGATGCAGGACGCCTCGTGCTTCATGCTCGGTTCCTTCCACGCGTTCCTCGAGGGTGGGTCGCTGAATCGCGGCTTCGCGAGAATCGTCGCCTTCTGGCACGCCTCCTGCTCCACGGCGTCACCCTCGAAGAACCGGCACATCTCCCTCACGGGCACGGCTCTGGCACCGCGGTTGAGATCATGAAGAGACCTGGCACGCTGCTTGCCTCTGGGACTGGGCTTGGAAGACGTACGGCCGAGATCCTCCGTGCTCCTGGCTAGACGCCCGCCTAGCCTCGAAAGAGACTCGAATAGGGTGAGCTTCTCCCGCACCGGCACATAGTGGTCCACCCTCTGGCACCGCTCTAGAAGCTTGGCGACGTCCTCTTCGCAAGGCGGCACCCCCGAGGTCGACGGAGAACCCGGTGATTTCGGAGAGGCAGTCGCAGGGTAATCCGACGACACGGACCTCGGACAGGACTGTGACGTCTGGCGAGGTACGGGGATCCTGGAGGACAAAAGTGCCAGACGCTCTTTGCGTTCCTGCAAGGTCTCCACGCTGGTGACGCTGGCGAACTGTTGATGCTGCGGTATTTGGCCCTTGTCGCGGACGATCCTTCTCTCTCTGGCGCGGCTTCTCCTCTCGCAGATGTCCGACCTGAGTATGCCGGTGCTGCCGTTGTTGCCGTTCTTCGGGCTGTTGTTGTTGCGCTTGTCGTCCTCGTTCCGGTGGTTCTCCTCGAACCTCACCGTGCCGGGCTCGCTCGGCTTAACCGGCGGCAGCCGATCGACGATCGAATTTTCGTTCCGCGTGATCGGGACGTCGACGACGGGCGGCGTCTCTCTCTTGGACAAGCGCGGCTGAACGTCGTCGTTGTCGTTGACGGCGTAGGCCGCTCGATTCGTCCTCGTCCTGCCGGAGGAGGAGCCGAGGATCTTCGGCAGATTGTTGTTGTTCTCCTCCGCTCGCGCCCGCCGTCGTCTCGCGTCCTCCTCGAGCACTCGCCGGCTCCTCGCCTCGTTCTCGCGTCTACGTGCCTCCTTGTACCTCTGGATCCTCTGTTCCCGCGTCTCCGGTTCCAGCAAGGGAACGCCAGAGTCCACGGAGTCCACGCTGGACCGACACACGCCGCCTCCCCAAGGCAGACTGTCGTCGCTACCCTCGCTGCTCTCGCTGCACCCCCATATCCTGCCGACCGGTTGCTCCTTGGCGCCGATGATGGCGGGTATGCTGCGAAATTCACCGAGGTCCTCGTCGCTCGAGTTGCTGCTGGACCAGCGTAAGCGCAGCTCGCTCTTCGCGCGCCTCCTGCTCTCGTCCAGTATCGTCGCGCTGCTGATCGTCGTCTTCTCCATCGGAGAGTCGCTCGGCCAGCAGCGCAGCTCGCTGCGCGATCGTCTTCTCGTTTCCGTCGGGCTTTCCGGCAAAGGGACTGGACCACGCGGACAAATGGTCAGTATCTCCAGGAAATTCAAGCATCGTTGAGCGCGGAATGGCGTCTGACGGACCAGCTCGGCCGCAATCGCTCTGACCCAAGACCAGTAGATCGGTTCCGTGTCCGCCTGAACAGATAAAAAAATCGACGTGTTCCGTTTAGGTGATGAAATAATCAGGCGCGTTGAATATTTTCCTCGGAGTTCCGAGCACTTCCCGGAAAACGGGATCTATTTTAGATACGCGGAACGCTCGCCCGGATAGAACATTTCTTGCGACCTGGCTCGGATTCAATCCGATTTCTCAAAATAATTGCTGATTCTAGTTCTAGGAAGAGAGAAATCTACACAGACTCGGCCTGCAAGTGTAATGTTTCAATTATGCATTGGAAAAAGAATTTGGTAACAATTACCAAACATTTAGTGAAATGGTTTCAATTAAACGATTCGCAGTAACCAAATAATTTAGTTGTATGGTACGTGTAACTCTCAAAGGTCTTTTATACAATTTTATGAGCGTGTATCGAATAGAGCTTTAAGTAATTTATTGAAAATTAAAAATATAACCCAATTTATATTAATTTCCTAATCTGATATTTGATCAAACTGTCGCTCGACTCTGGCGATGACAGCCGCACGCGGCACGAAGCCAGCTGCGGCGTACAGCCAATCAACATAGCTGAAAAGAGACTTCATCCCATGTTTGGGATAAGAATGATTCTCAATTGGTATTGTAGGAAGATAACCTATTTTGGGACAACTTTGGATGTTCTGATCGGAATCCGTGCACAGAAAGAAAAGTGCTAGATTCAAGTAAATGTTATAATTACTCCACTGATCTGGCAAAATATTGCTTCGATCATGTGTAATATTTACTCGAAAAAAGAAATTTACTTAATTCAAATAAAAATTTGCTACTAAGGAATATTGGAGTAATTTTTTACTTGAATCTAGCACTTTTTTCTGTGTGCTATATGCGGGATAATCTGGGAAAATTTCTATACGGAAGATCGCCGAGCGATCCTGAAGATACACTTTCCACGAACGTTTAATTTTCTCTTGTACTTGGAAAAGAAACTACTCGGTTTGTAACTAATTTTCTACTATCTGGAGACAAGACAAAAACTCGTTTGTACGAACGAAAAGATTCCTGTAGGAGATTTCTGTTCGGCTCAATGTTATCTCGATGTTAAAACAGCCGAACGTTTAGATATTCTCGATCGCAGTAACGGACACATTATTCTCGTCACCAAGTTTTCATCTAGTCCTCATTTTGTTCATAATAGGAAGTGATACTTTCTTCCGCGTCATTTCTATGTCATTGAAGCTTATACAATACATGTGGAATTATTTGCACTTTCGAGGTGATTTTCAGACGCTATGCCTGCTTTCTTCTTCTTGCCTTTTCCGCTCGCCCGTCGAACTAAGCAATTGACAGTCGCACAGCGTTCAAGATCTACAAATCTATAAAATCTGTGAGGCGCTTCTTAATTATTGAAAAGTGTTTCCATTGAATCTACTCTATCATTATAATTATAACAATATAACTGTGTTGATAGAGCGTATAAAAATGTAAAAATAACAATAATATGCAAAAATAAAGGTAACACGCATAGAGAACTAATTTCGATAAAAATTTCATAGAAATTAAAGGACATTTCACAGTGTGTTATATGAAGTTGACAGTCCTGAAACTGAGTGTAACTGTCAGTCGCATGTATAATTAAAAAAAAAAAAACGTTTTATTTTTTCAGTCTTTCCTCGGAAAACCCGGCAAAATCTATGCAAAAGTTGAAAAATTCGTTTTCTCTCTCGTCCTTTTTATTCATTGGCAGAAAGAAATCGATAAAATCGGATTTTTTCAGAGCCTTTAAAATTATAGTTACATGGCATTGAAAAACGATGCGAGAGAGGCAAGGGGAAGGAAGTAGGCGCAGCCCTCGAAAGTCGCCTCGAAAGCGCAAGTAATCCCGACTGACCCGATCCTCGCGATATCGATTGCCGTAACTCGCTGCGATCGCTCGCGAATTTTGTCAAGCGATATCTCCCGAGGGCCGTGCGTGGCGATGCGAGTGACGGATACGAGTGGAAATCGGGACGATTAAATATAATTCGATCGATAACCCGCGAGTCGCGCGCGCGGAGGTTTCTCGATAGGCAGGCGGTTTGACGTATAGACGGAGTATGTAGGACCACCGTCGGCAACGTCGTCGACGGTAGAGTGTGTATTCGGATTATACGCTCCCCGTGCGCTCGCTCAGGATGCTACACGCCGAGTAGTCGAACGGGTCTGTCTACCCGCAGGATCGGCCGTGACACATGATTTCGCTGGCGATTCGAAAGTCGCCGGCGGTCCGCTCGAGTGCGAACGACCACGGCTGGCGACACCGTGGAATTTACTCGTTAACCACCGACGGCGTCGATCATTACCATCTTTGACGGAAACAAATCTCCCTGTCGCCTCGAAAGGTGACCTTCGAACGCTCCGTGCCACGGTCGCGTTCGATGACACTGGCCGATATCGGGGTGTCTGGAAAAAAGCTCGCCGACAGGTTTGCCCGGCCGCCCTGCGGAACAACCGCTGGAAAAGCCGCTTTCGATCGGGAACCGTGACGCGGCGGGCTGCGTCAGCGGCTGACGGAGGAAACCGTCGCGGCATCGGCGACCGTGTGTTTTCTAGGTCTGCGCCGTTCGTCAATGGAACTCTCTCTCTCTCTCTCCCGAGTAGTTACCGTAATTGCTTCAATTGGCATCGTTAGCCGGAGAAGTCGGACTCGTAAAAATGCGAAGACCCGATTACGACGAAGGACTCGTGTCCGATTGACCGATCGTCAGTGGGTGCTGGCGAGTGCGGCGTCCTTGGAGCGACTGAAGCCGAAGAGGCGAAGGAACTGCCAGGCTACGGGAGCGCGACGTGGTGGGACTCCTTGACAATGGCGGGTCATGGGAGAGCGGTGCAACGATCTCCCACGCATTTATCACGGCGAGCGGATCGGCAAAGCGGGTGTGTTGACCTTGCCTACTGGCCTTATTAAGATCTCGTGATTCGACGAGCGGGCGGGTTACGTCACAAGACGCACCTTCGCCACCTGGACATCCGCGCGCCCGGCCTTGGCAAGGATGCCCGCTCTTGTATATCCCTTATATACGTGCTTAAACGAACGCGTCTTTATCCCACGCTCGCGTACCGAAACGTTTCGTCAAGGCTGGCCGAGCGAGCGCGCAACTCATCGAACCTAGGGAGATCGCGAAGAGAGCTCTAATTGGATTATTCCGCGGATAACGAGAGAGAAAGAGAGAGAGAAAGGGGGGGGGAGGGAGATGGGAGAAAGGGAGAGAAAAAAGGCACGGTGAAAATACTACGCCAGGGCGAAACTCGCAAAACGAGTTTCGACGACGTCTTCGCGCGATCTGAAAGCGCCGAGCATTACGGGCGGTCACGTCGGCGACTTCTATGCAAAACGAGGAGAAATCTGCGCGCGAATTGGAATTTTCGGTGAATCTCTAGAGATCGTAGCTTATGCGGCTCGAGGCGGACAGGTAGATCCGCTGGAAGCGTATTCGCTCGCGAGGATTGTATAACGCGCTAGAAATCGAATGGCGACGCTGGCGGGCCGTAATTAGAAGTTGCAGCGTTCAGCGAAACGGGAGCCCGCGGTCCGCCCGGCACGTGAAAGTGTTTACGGCCGAGGAAACGGATCGTGCCGGAGATAAAGGCCATTTACATGCAATTACATTGCGTGGTGCGGCATATTATTTCTCCCCCTGGCCGCCCCGCCGCCTCGTCATCGTCCTCTCGCGCCTCTTCTCTGCTCTCGCAGTCGGAACAACGAGCCGGTTCCCTCGGCCTCTCTGCTCCGTGGAACCATGCCAAATCGCTGCCGCTCGCCGACCTGACGTTCTCTCTCGCGAGGGCGACTCTCCGGCTCTCTAGGAACGCCGTTGCGTTGGTCAGGGATCGAGCGAGCGAGAGAGAAAAAGAGAGAGAGAGAGGACGCTGATCGACCGCGGGCCGGCAGTCAATTCTCCCTCATCGTGTCGCGGAATCCTCGACTCGAAATTCTCGAGTTATTTCCGGCAGAGTTACGAAAGAGAGAAGGGGACAGCGAGGCTTAATTAGGCTACAGTAATTACCCAGAAGGTGGCGAGCGAACGACCCTGCGAGTTGCTCAGGGTAAATCCTAGAGCGAGCGCGTGCGGCTGACAGAGACCTGACGGCGCTTGACGGAGGTTCAATGCCCTCAATGGTAGCCGCATCGGGGTGCCTTCGACCCACAGCCAGCCCATCCTGATGGAGACCGTCCGCCTCTCGCCCAGATCCTCCACGTACAGTTCGCCTGAAATCGAAATAGCAAAGAAACCGAGTATGAGGACCGATCACAATCGAATTAATTAACGCGCGGCAATTCGATGGGGAGGAGGGGAGGGGGAACGAACGGTCGATGTTCGATGCGCACGCGCGAAAGAAAGGGTTGAGTAGTATTTATTTTTATCCTGGGGTCAAAGACCCCCTTGAGTTTGCAGGAATTTAATACAAGCGTGGTTGCTTGCCAGAATTCAGAAAAATACTTAACGATGGATTGTGGAGATCCTTCGGGAACGCGTTTTCAACGAACTATTTTTTCCCAACGCGCATCGTCTCACGGACTGGAAAACTACCGTCATTTGTTCGCACAAGCCACCGGGCCTCTCCGCAGGAACTTACATTTGTGTGAATGTTCGTGCGCGCGCACGATTTTCCGATTTTCTTGTTTATTCACGCCAATATTGACATATTTTACGCAATTGTATTGTTTTTTGCATATTTTTGTTTTTTATTGTAGTTAAACTTGAAGAAATTTTTTTCAATTTACGCTCGAAGATCGCTCGAAACTTCAACCACATATCTCGGTGTCCTAAATATCAGATTCTTAAAAAGAATTGAAAAGAAGACCGTAAGGAAAATTTTCTTTCCACGGTATTCCTCCTATGAAATCATTCAAGTTGTGCTCTAAACATTTCTCATTTCATTAAAAACAAAATAGATATTTAGTTGTTCTCCTTATGTTGGGACATCCTATATTTGAGAGAAAGACAGATAAAAACACAGAGAGAGAGAGAGAGAGAGAGAGAGAGAGAGACAGACTGCCAGGAGTTTTCGCTGTCGATGAACTTTCGTTCGCTTCGTGATATGCGCGCGCGCGTACGTATCGCACGCGCCATAAATGGCGCCGGGCGCCTTTTAATATCGCCGTCCGGGAGATGAAGTCCGGGGCCATCGATGAATCATGCTGCTCGTTATCGAACGCCCATAACTAACTTAACGGAAGAGAGACCCTCGCATTGCCGACAATCAATTGTATCGGCGTCACAGGATCGGTACGATCGGGCACGATCGAGAGTAAGAGCCCCGGAGTAGTGTATCTCGTCGCATCTCGGCTGCTATCGAGTTTATCAGCCTGATGAATATTTCATCGCGGCTCGCGAGAAATCGCGCATGGTCGGAGCGTCGCGACATAGGCAGAGCGAAAGAGAGAGAGAGAAAGAGAGAGGAGAGAGGGAAAGATATAGAAGCCCGATTTCCACAATTTCTCGGTTCACGACTTCGCTCTTTGCACGATTGCCCGTCCCGAATTACCCGATGGCTCTCGACGTGCCGTGGCTTCGTGCATACCGTAAAAACCGCAAACGGTGGAATTTTGCCGTTCGTAGTCCGAAAGACTGCTCCTTAAAAGGTGTGCCACACGTGCCGACGCATACGAGCGCTCATTACGATGCGTAATTTACGAGACGTAACGTCACCCGCCATCTCGGCGAGGAGAAATAAAAATCGCGGGGGAAGGCAAAGTACGACGTAAGAACCGACGTATTGAGTGAAAGACGAGAGAGAGAGAGGGGGAGTGAAAGAGGGATTGACGTCATCCGATCGAAAGACGTGGGTGGGTGGTGGTGGGTGCGTGGTGTGTATCATCGGCACCCCCGTGGTTACCTCTCTCCGTGCGCATCTCCTCGCGATTTGCCTGAACGGCTATCGAACGAAAACAGCGTCAAACACGCCTACGTTTCTCATCGCGGCACTCGGGACGGCTATTTTCGCCGGAGTCCGGGATGAAAATAGATCCTGCCGGTGCAGAGCCTCCTGCCCGTCGTCGCCTCCGTCCGATCTCACGGCGCCTCCGAGACAATCCCGAATCCGTCGCCCGCCGTCGGGACGATTCGCACGGCGACGAGCAGGAACTCGGCCGATATTGAATTACGCTCGCGGCGAGAAGAGGAGAACATTCTGCCTCGTCTGAGAGACACGTGGAACAGACTGGGCACTCCCGTTGGAGGGCTGAAGCTGGCATTGTAAGAGAGGCCGAGAGAGCCAACGGTGATTTCCTCGTCTAATTGTGTAATTAATGCGGAGAAGGAAAGAGGAGAAGCGATACATGGTCACAAGTATTACGAACTAATAACTACGAGCGCGCACATTGATGTATTATTTATGTCTTCTCACATCAGCAAGTACACGTTATTCCTCTCTTTCCTTCACTTCGCTCTTCTGTTTCCCCTACATTCGCCCCCCTCTTACGGTACTGTGCGTCAGGTAAAGCACNAAAAAAAAAAAAAAAAAAAAAACAATTGCCACGTTCGAGTAAATATTTGCTAAGAAGTATCGGGGATAGTTGATTTACTCAATCCGAATAAAATCAACTACTCCGATACTCCTTAGGAGATATTTACTTGAACGTAGCAATTTCTTTATCAGATTTTCGACTCGGTCCTTCAATTTCGGCTTCAGCAATGGCCGTGTTCCAGTCTATTCCGCACGCCTATGTCCGAGGCTCGCCGCCGGCGCGTGACACCCGGTGGATCGCGGAAAATTCCTCGCGCTCCCCGCGAATCAGAGCGCATTAATTAACCGGCCTTTATCACGCTGCCGTCGATTGAATCCGCACACCGTCGGGACTCGAGGTGGATTCCGGACATTCCGCGCCGCCTGAATCGCGTCCCGTGAAGCGAACGAGATTGTTAGGCGCGCGTGTCCATTAGGAATTTCTCCCAACGAGCCTTCACGCGCGGCCGGTTGGATTATCGAAATGACGTTTACGAGCGTCAAACGACATTATAGTAAGGACACAGGATGCCGGGGATACCTTCGATCGATAGTAATAAAGCGCATCGGCGTTTACGCGACGCGAGGTCCTTCACCTGCATTCTTGCGTAGGTGGCTCGTCGACGAGCAGCCGAACGCACGATGTCGCAACGCAGGAACGACCTACGACACGCTTTCCCCCGGAAATATTTCGTCCCGTCGGCCAGGATGAGAAAAGGAGACTCGCCCGAGCGATTCTCTCGATCCGATTAACCCTTTGTTGTCCCCATCACAGGGTGTGTATATGTTGAGCAACCCCGCCCCGTCTCGCTTTCTTACGCCGTCCTCGTCACCGACAGCGGATAACAATGGTGAGTCTAATTCCGCGGCAAATTAGTCCGAGGAGAATTGCCGTAGGAACGAGAGAGATAGAGAGAGAGAGAGAGAGAGAGAGAGGATCGTCGGGCTCGTCCGTTGTAATAGCGTGAAATGATGCGCATTAGAGAGTGGATTCTCAAAACGGCAAATGCCGGCGAGTACCGGCGGAGTTACCACTCTCTCGCGTATATTCAGCCCGCGAGCGCGAGTTTACGCGATACTCGCGAAATTAGACGCATCGGGGATGCGTCACGCGAACCTGACATGTCGGTCGTGACGCCGGTCTCTAGGAACTCCGGGCTACGGCGGAGTTTCGCGCGGGTGCATGGAAAGCCGGGAGAAGCGACGTTTACGTTTATTATATGGCTCCCTCTCTCTCTCTCTCTATATATATATATATATATATTTCTCTTTCTCTTTCTCAGATGCTGGGTAAAAAATCTCTCACGATGCATTATCGGAGTGAAAGCGCGTCGCTCCGTCGGGACGAAATTCGCCTTGTCTATCATCGGGGATGCAATTATCGCGCCGGTTGATATTAGATAGCGTCGCGCGCGATCGCTCGCCGATTAGAAGCGTGGAGTCACTTTGTGCGCCGACGGAGGTGGTTTTCACAATCTCGAGCACCACCATTCTCCGCATTTTTCAACGAAATTCGCAATCCCAGCGATCTCGTGCGTGCGCTCTCCGTGGCGTTCGTACGACAATTAACGAACCGTGAAGTAAGCGAAGCTGGCAAGTTTGCGCCGCGGATCTCTCTCGCGGATGCCACGAATGATGCGGCGAGTTCTCCGGCCGATTTTCACGCGAGTGAGTCACTTTACATTCATGGTCATCCTATTTGTCTACGTCGACAAAGCTCTCGACTTGCCGTGAGACTTTTCCACGAACATTATGCGTTATGAAGTATGCGTGAGTCATCGGTGATCCTCGCGAAGTAGTCGCTTCAATTCTTTTCCCTTTTCTCTTCCGTTTCTTCTCAAACAACCACGCGCATCGATTGCGCCCATAATTATATCATTCGAACGTAAATGTTAATCGCCGTAACTATGGAGGAAAATCGTCAAGTTCCTATTGAAAGTCGTGCGATGCTCAGTGAGATCTGGCGAGATATCCGGAAATGCGTCGTTAGTTTTGACAGTTTGATATATCGTATCATAACACGATGGAAATGATTAGAAGGACTAATGAGCTTTACTCTAATATCGTCTGATATTACTCTAACAATCTGCAGTAAATAACCGTTCGCATCGTCAAGGCAGGGTAACGGCTTGTGTAACGTTCGTATCTCGAAGTTCTCCATCGACCCTTCGAGTTCGACATTAGTAGGGCAAATGTGGAAGCAGGATTTCGACTCGACGGTAAGCATGCCACTCAAGCATCGGGACATCTGTTCGCGCCACTTTACGTAAATCCGAATTTCCGCTCGAAGAAGCAGGTCCCTGGGAAGCTCGGGATCGGTGTGTTTGCGTTCACGAGGCTGCCGCCTCTCGAATATTAGGTCGAACACCCTCGGAGCCGGCGACTTTCCGAAAGAAGATCGCTATGTCCGCTCTCACGGTTCATTAAGCTCCAGAAAGCGGGCGTGTCGCGCGTGCATCCGTGCGAACCGTCCATAAATAAAGCCGACCGTTCCTAAACCCGCATCCCGGTCGCTCAGTGAACGCTCGGCTCCTCGCATCGCCGGACAAACGTATCGCAACGTGTTGCATATAAACGCAACGCGAGAGTCCGCACATTGAATCCAACAGCGGCGCTGTTTTAATTTCCAGGCTGAGGCGTAACGAAAGATATATCGCTCCTTTGCGGTTTCTCCCGCTCGTTCGCATTTATCGATACACCGTACGAGCGTGAGCGATAAGAATTGTCATTTCTCCGTGCACCGTACACGCGCACGGGCTC